GGCGAGCGCGCTACCGCTTGAGCCACATCCCCAGCCCCTTAGGCCAATATTTTTACTTGGAGAAGAATGGAGAGTCTGGGGTCAGTGTTCAGTGCTTATATCTTTCCCTTCAGGGTCCCATTGTATGTCACTAGAAAAGGATTTCTTTGGGGAAGGATCAATGCTTTAGCTTCCTTTCTATGGATTGTTCTATCACTGGGAAAGTATCCATGCCATCAATGTGCTGCTTTCCTCTTCACTCCCTCTTCCCAGGCCACACTATTTTGAGGTTTGTCATTTTCTATATTCAACACTCCAGACTCTGACAGGGATATTGAATTGAGAAGGTGAGATCTCTGGTTGCCTCCTGCTGGGTGGGGGTGACGTAAGGGGGCCCTTCTTTCAGAGTCCTGGAAGTAAACATGGGGTGCAAGCAGAGGGGGAGGTGCAAGCAATGTCAATTCTTTTCATGAGGGTCCAGAAGATCAGGCAGTGAGTAGTGGAAGGACAGATGTTTTGAGATGTTTCCCAGCAGTTGTGGCTGAGCTAATCACTTTATTAAGAAACTATAAAACTGAAACTAGAAGAAAAGATATTATAACAACATGAAAATTAACTGGTTTGCCAGGTTAGGGAAACAATTGTAGCATATAAAATAAAGACTAATTAGCTCACTAGTGTTAGGAGAATAATTTTAACATGAAAGGTGAAGATTAATTAGTTTATTAGTGTTAGGAAAATGATTTTGGCATGTGATATAGCTGAGGACTCTATTGTTTTCAATTAAGGCCCAATCAAATTTAGGGTGTTCTCCCCATGATTTCAGGGATCCGGTTCCTTTGAAACATAGCAAGCATGATTAACCTTGGAATTATACTTTCCTGATGGTTTAATAGTTTCCACCCTGCTTGACAGATAATGCAAATAAGACCCAGGATACAATAACAGTACAGTTATAGTTAGTAACCCAGCTATATGCGTAGGAAAGTACTTAAAAGGGTTAAGGGAAGAAATTCCTTCAGCTGAACTTCCCCAAATCTCTTTATTATCAAAAGTAAGTATTTTGGCATTAACCATCACCAGGGCCTGAGACTATAATTTTAACTCATCCAAAGAAGCATTATGAAAAGGATCAAATCACATGAGATGATTGCATATGCTTTGCCATTGAATCTCAATGTCATTGTATGAAACTCTAGTAAAACAAAAGTGGGTAATATTATAATGGCACTGGAGTCTCTGAGCCCACTGTAAATCTTGTACTTGTTCTCCTAGCCATATAACAGAATCTTTTAGTTGCTGGACCTTGCTCAGCATTTCATGATCAATATGTACTTGAGTTTGCCGTGTTTCAGTGTAATTCTTATAGAGTTGCTGAAGGTAATGCGTTGTTTGGTGTAAGGCCACGTCTGCTATGGAGGCAGAAACAATGATGCCAACCAAACAACCACCAGCTATTAACCATGCGTCAGTCATTTAGTCCAATGCTTTGAATGTCTTAGCAACTCTTGCATGAATGCTACTGAAGGTGTTTCCTGCCACAGTTCTTTTAAGTTTACAGGGAGCCAGGTGGCTACTGGCCTTTTCAGAATCATAACAGTTTGTCCTGGGCTCTGCCATATGGTTTGATTGACACAATGCTGCAACATAGTTTTCACATTTAACATAATATATATTTTGTGTGGTATTATACTGTATTTGAATGGGCTCAGATAATGAAACATATGGATTTACTCTACATTGCTGTGAGGTGGAATTCTTTTTGAAGGAAAAAGTTAAAGTTAACAGTTTTTGATTTATCATATTGAGATTCACCATTCTAGACCTGAAAAAGCTCCTGAGTTAAACCTACTTACAACATGGTGTCCTTAACTGGCCCCAAAAGAGCCAGAGAGAAATGTAAACCTGGCCTCTTGATCCTGTTGATTAGGGACATGATGAGGCCAGGCTTGAGGCTTGGTGTGGTAGCAATATGAGTTATTGAGAGAAATACAAAGTGGAGGTTGGAGGACAATCCTGAGTAATTAAACAAAAATTGTTGGGTGGACCAGTAGGTAACAAAGGACCAGGCAAAAAGGTGGTAGAATTAAGATATATTGAAGGGGGACTATTAAACCATGTTACTGTGTGAGCAATAGCAGGCTGTGGAATATTGACCCAATAAATCTCTGTGCCATTAGCCATGTTCATAGTTGTGACTATTATGAGAATCAATATGATAAACCTGTTAACAGCAATAGTAAATTGGTCTATTTTCCCTATTCCAGGTGGTGCTCGAGCCATTTAACCTTGTCTTTTACCACTCCTGACTAATTTACGTAGAAACAGCATTCTTCCCCTGCTGGGAGCCATTAGTCAAGTAGGTATGACAATTTCCTTGCCAGTGTACTCCATGTTGCTTAGTGGAAGGACTCGTGGAAATAGGACATTTTGCAGTGACATTGCATGTAGGTGACCTTGCTCAAGGACCAAGGTGGATCCGGGTTTAGGGAGTTCCCGGTTTAGGACTATCCGGGTTTAGGGTGGTTCCAGGTTTAAGGTTATTCCTGCTGGGAATAGGGCGTATCCTGCTGCCTGAGTTCCCCTTGAGTTCTCACAGGATTCAGACAGTATTTTTTGGGAGACAGAAGCCCAGTGGGGGTGGATTTGGGCAGAGAACGTGGATTTCCCCAGAACGTGATTGTAGACGGCTGGTGTGAGTTCGGGAATAAAGAGTTGCTGTTTGAATCTACAAGCTGTGTGGTGGCTCGTGATTTTGTGCCCAGCCCGACTGCGGCATTCCCCAACTGGTTTTGCAAGACGACAGAGGCCAGGGAGTCCAATTGATTCATAAAATCAGTACCAAATGGATGACCCGTTGGACAGCTACAATAACCAGTGGTATTTTTATAGTGAATACAAGGTCATAATCCTGCTGCTCCTGTGGTAATCCAAGTGGATGTTTTCAGCCTTATGAGTAAGGGAATAATTGGAGTGGGGGGGCTCTAGGCTTCGGTTGTGGGGTTAAATGTCAATTAGAGGAGTAAGGAAAAATAAGGTACACAGGCCAGTTTAATTTTGGTAGGCAAGGATAAATTTGAGCCTTGCAAAGAAAAAAAACCAGAAATTTGGGGGTATCAGGGCTGTGGGACTGACACAAGTGGACATCTTAAATTCTATTTAGAAGAACTATTGTTTTTCTTCTCAAATGCCCTGGTATGGCTGTATTTTATAACTGTGCTAGGTGTTCAAGACCAAGCTGGTCAAATTGACCTTGTTCCTATCTACTGTTAAGAGTCAGCTGAGTTTCCACAGGGGTCACTCTTAAGGAACTTGAGAGCAGCTTCTTACTCTTTCAGTGCCATCTGCTAGGTAGGGTCTCCTTGATGAGGTGAATTCCTTTGGAAACATCAGGGGTGTCTCCCTTCTCCAATGACCTGCCTTTTTGCAGCAGATGCACTGATTAGCTTTCCATTCTCCAGTGGTCTCATTAATCTCCCTAACCAGGAAGTTATGTGGCCCAGTGTTGTAAAGCCCTTTAGAGAAGTTCTCTTGTTCCCTGGGTTCAGGCTGACTCAGAGGGCAAGAATTAAATATTGGTTTTCTTGGCCCTTTTATTTTAACCTTAATCTTTAAGCCTTGGCCTTAGACATCCATCAAGCCAATATCACCAGTCTTAAAGAGTACTGGGTTTTAAATTCAAAGTCCATAACCTTACAGTCATTTACCCCTTATAATTAACTGGGTCTGTATTAGTACTAGAAGTTAGTCTTATATCCTATCTGTCCTATAGGAGATGGCTTATTATCTCAAATTAACCCGGATTGTGTGTTCTTGAAGCAGTATCTCTGCAAAACATTAACAGGAAACAGTTATGAATTTTACAAGGAAAATACAAAATGAAATTAACAAAAGTAAAAACATATTTAGTTTATGTAATAGCTGTCTTGAATTTTGAATGAGTTGAACATTGTAACCCTGTTTGAGATCACAGTAATTTTTACAACAAACATTATTCTTTTGAACACAATTTTAAGTGAGCTGAAGTCTAGCCTATTTTGGAGGCATTCTAACATGCAGTAAGGTGGGAGAGAGAGCCTTATCTCAGGTAAGGTGGGGCTCTTGACAAATCTTAGGTAAAATATTCTAGTTCTGAAGCTAATATTTGCCTCTTTCTTAAATGTCATTTTGCAAAGTTAGTATATATTGCTTCCTGAGTGTATATGAATGTGAGCTAACACAACATTACATTTAAAGCATGAATCAAAGAAAGACTGAGAGAGCTTTTGACTTTCCTTTTGTGTGGAAGAGTGGAAAAATGCTTTCAAGTTTCACAAAATTAACATGTGAACAGATCAGGCTTTCATTGTCTTTTAGAAATATTTACATTCTTACAGCAGTGTGAAAACTAACATAAGATTCAGGTCTACTTACAGAACTTTATTTATTTTGAAAGCGCTTTTGGTTTTGAACCTTTAATGAGGAAAAAAAAAAGATATACTATGGAGCTCAAAACCACTGTGGTCACTGTGTCATTGGGTCAAGGGCTGGGACTACACACTGTAGAACTAGCAAACAGAATATGTGTTAACAAAAATACGCACGGTCACAAAACGTAAAACTGGTGCTGGACATGGTTAAGTCTTGTGCCGCAGTCTGGCTGGGCACAATTCAGGAGCCACTTGTCAAAAGAAACAAACTTTATTTTTAGAACCACACACCACACCACACAGCTCCTCAGGAAAAACCCTCAGAGCCCAACTGCCACCACCGGCTGCCCACAAGCCTCTCAACCTCCCCCAATCCTCCTGCTCTTGAGCCCTATTGGCTGGGTCACATGGGTGGAGCCAAAAAAAGTCCCCCAATGAGCAGCTCAGTGGTCTGAAAGGGCAGGAAACAGCCCAATGAGCATCACCGCAGAGGAGCCAATCAGTTGGCAGCTAGAAGTTGCTGGGGCCACTGTGAGCCAATCATCAGCTGGCAGCTAGAAGTTTGCTGGCAGCTGGAAGTTTGCTGGGGCCCCTTTGGCTGTGGCTCTCAACAGTCTTGGTTTCCTCATCATTCAGCAGCATGTTGGGGATCCCGCGGCTGATGGGGAACACACGTCCTGACTCTGGGCATTGCAGGGTGCCCTCCAGCACGTCCACCTCCAGCAACACGTGATGCATCTTTCTCAGAAATGTCTCGTAGTTCATGTAGGCCTCAGTAAGCTCTTTTGGCACCTCCATCAGGTGCAAGGTGTCAGCCGCCTCCAGAAGCGCCTCCCACTCCACCTTGAGTATCATCCATGCCATGAAGTCTGGGTTGAACTCCACGGGATTGATGCGGCCTTCGGTGGCCTGGAGGCTCAGGGGGAAGCCACGAGGCCCCACCCCCAGCACATGTGAGCTCAGTAGATTGTGGGTGAGCAGCTTCATGTTTCCACAAGGGATCCTCCCCTCCGGAACCAGAAAGAGACCAGAACTTTAAATGACATAAATAAATCCCCAATAAAATTTGCAATTTGTTTAACCATGAAGTGAAAAAAGACCATGGACTCCAATTCTGAATTAAACTAAAGAAAGCTTGTATTTGTGTATACAGGAGCTGGCCAGGACTGTCTCTCCCAAAATCCCGGGCTAGATCCCAGCTCTCCAGAAACGTGGTTTCATAGCACAAAAAGTTGCAAAGGGGGGGGGGGGGGGTTTTTGGAAAACTTACAGATAACAGGGTTTTGACAAGCATAATACAAGGCAGATAGCAGATTAATGATCTAAATGGCACAATATTTCAAGGTAAGGAGTAAATTCAGATCCCAACATCAGAATTTATGAGGCACTGCTGAGGATTCAGAGACGATTGTTATCTGTTCAGGGGGAGCCAGGTGAGTTCAAGGCATGGGCAGGAATTCCAAACAAGTTTAGAAATTGTAGTAATTTATAGTAAAACAGAAATTAACTTTTCATGACTTTGTGATAAGATGGCTCCCAATCTTGAGATGGAATTAGGCTGGGTTCATCATTCTCCCCTTGTCTTATGTGTCCCTTTCAAATCTTTCATAGGGTGGAGGACAAGCTCTAAAGGAATTTTAATCCCTCAGGGGAAAATCTCCAACTTCCGGATTTACTCAAAATTCGCCTCCTTGATCTGACCTGATTCAATCTACCTATCTATACTGTCTGTCCATCTAATTATAGTTTTATTTCCTCCTTTCTAATTTTGGGAATTTTCTACTACCCTAAGGAAAAGGGATGATGACTGTTTTGGCTGCTTCAGAGCTGAGAGGTGGTGATGTGAGAAAAGGCAAGAAGTTTAGAGTTCCCTTTTAGAAGTCAGGTAGGATTGAAGTCTGGTTGGGGAAGAACAGGTTGTAAAGTCTCTGGGGATGTGTGCTTCCATGAGAGAGAAACAAAAAACATGAATACTAAATAAATATTGCAGCCTATGGAACATGTCAATGAATATCATGAAGACAACGGAAGTTAATATTTTCTCACCAGGAGGTAGGAAAACTGAGAAGCTGTCCCCATAATAAGGCCAGAGGGAACAAGATCTTTATATAGGATTGTAAATCTTTAACATCTTTAGAGTTATCAGGAACATAAACACAACATTTCACTTTTAACATTGCAGATGTCCATCCCCATGAGATGTAGTTAAGCTACTCAATGTTATCTGATCTTGTAAAATTTTTACTGGTATGACCTCAGTTTCTAGTACATAACCCTTTGGTTATTTCTGTTACTTAGGGTTAGATAATTATGTTAGCAAATATTGATCCTACGTGTGTAGGAGGTTAGGAAGAGCTATAGGCCTTAAACTGACCAAAACTTCTGACTTGGCAGTTTCATTTAATAGTTATCAGGCATTCCTTCCTAAGAATCTCTCTTTGAAGCCTCCAGTCTTACTTATTTTGGGGGGCAAACATAAATGTATTTCTTAAGTTATATTTAACTATTATTATTTATCTTTAAATGCCCAGGAGTGGCTATATTTTGATTTTAACTGGTTTTGCTAGGTGTTTAAGATGAAGCAAGTCAAACTTTTTTTTGTTTCTATTGTTAAGAGTCAGCTGAGTTTTCATGGGAGTCACTCTCCAGGGAACTTGAGTGTAGCTCAACCCTAGGGGTATGCATACAAAGAAGATGGCCTTGCTATCTGAGATGGGTCTACACCCAAGCCACAAGGAATATAGTGGTTGGTCATTGCCTTGTGCATCAGGACTAGAAGGCGTGGCCATTCAGAGTGACTCCCCACAATCTATGACACTAAATACCACCTTTAATGGAATGGTGGGGTCAGCAGTTAACATCAGCACCAACACTATACCACCATGAACTAGATCATGAATTAGACAGCAGGTGTCTGCTGTGCAGTCCACTATATTAATAATCACAGTACGAATGGGTAGAAATTACATCAACTACATAATTCTATCAGATAGTGGAATTACAGCTTCTCAAGTGAATAGAAAATAGAGTATGAAGGCAAGGGATAGTTTGAAATATTTAAAAAGTAGAGGAGAGGCAGGAAAAAGGTAGCAGATGATAGCTATAAAGATGGAGGAGTAGCCTGACACATGGCACATGCCTGTAATCCCAGAGGCTCCAAGGCTGAACAGAGGATTGTGAATTCAAAGCCAGCCTCAGCAATGATGAGGTGCTACACAACTCAGTGAGACCCTGTCTCTAAATAAAAAATACAAAAAATAGGGCTGAGGATGTGACTCAGTGGTTGAGTGTCCCTGAGTACAATCTTTGGTACCAAAAAAAAAAAAGGTGGATGAATAAAAAATAACTGAAAGTAACAAAATAAAGCAGGAGAGGAAGATGGAACAAGAACATTTGAATATTGTGGGGGAAGAGAGTGATGAAGGGCAATAAAAAGAACAAAAAACAAGGTACAAATATAAGATCAAAACCAATTAAACCAACTAAAATTTTACCCCACCAAAGTCAAACCAAGGCCAAATAGTAAACAGGTGATGAAGTGAGCAAATAAAAGAAAAATTATATGCAAAAAGATCTATATTACACACACACACACACACACACATGTCACAAAATCAGGCAGATTGGAAAAAAGTTTAAAAAATATAAAATTAAAAATTAATAAGTTAAAAAAGGAAAAGGGGGAATAGGAAAACAATTCTTAATGAGGAACAAAGGGCTTGTTTTTTCCACTGTGGAGTCAAACTCTTGGCAAGGATGGCTGTGCATGGCTTATGTTGTTGGGCCTTCCTTTGTTTTGTTTTGTTTTGGGCTCTGTAACCCTGGGACCAAGGACTAAGGGTTGTCAAGTCCCATTCTTTATGCAACTTGCCAGCCGTGGTGGGCAGGGGCCAGAGCTGGTTGTGGTAGCTCTCAGCTTCCAGCTCCCAGCACAGGATGGGTCAGATGGGGGCTGTCACATGACGTACCCTGCAGCCAGCTGGGCAGAGTTCTCTATTGGAAGTTCCAGGAGCTGCGGCTGGGTATTGCCGACCTGCTGATACCTGCTGGGGACCTAGGAAATGAATATCTTCCAAATTAACAAGTGAATCCTAACATGCCATTAGGGTGCCCTGGGAACCCTTACTGAAATGTAACTCTTGAAAAATTCTTTTGAAACCCCTTGTCCCTCCTGATCAAGAGAGTCATGTCAAAATAAACCTCCAAATTATGTATAATTATAATACACTAATAAAAGCATAATAAAAATTATAAGGAAGTTAATAGTTCAGAATTATAGATACAGTTCAGGTGATCTTGGATTTAGGGGGAAATATCAAACCAGACCTAAGTACAGGAGTGAGCCACTAGATGGTGGCATTGGAGCTTATAATAAAGGCCAGGAGAGCATTCACACCAAGTGGCAGCAGTGGAGACCTGTTCTGGAAAATTTCTTGTAAGCCCATAGCTGACACTCCTGCCATGTAGCCTATAGCTCCTTGGCATCTGTATTCTGACCAAGTCAGGTGTCCTAGCCTTCCACTGATTCTGGGAGGCCATCACTATGCTTTAGTAAGATTCTCCAGTAAACAAAATATAAGCTTACTAGGATTTTCAGTAACAAAAAAGAGGGGGGAAGGGCTGGAGATATAGCTTGGTTGGTACAGTGTTTGCCTCACATACACAAGGCCCTGGGTTCAATCCCCAGCATCCCCCTCAAAAAATAAGGGGGGGGGGAATATATTATTTTAAAAATTTTCCCTAAGTTCAAGAAAGATTGGGAACTTTCTTCAAAAATGGTCTAATGCCGCAGTCTGGCTGGGCACAAATAACCGGGAGGTCACGAGCCACTTGTAGATTCAAGCAGGAACGAACTTTATTCCAGCACTCACGGGAACTCCGCGAGAACTCAAAGTAGCGGGCACCTGAGGTAGCAGGAAACGCCTTATTGCCGGACAGCAGAGGTTTATATACACAACTGAATACACAGCTTGTTTCAATTTAGCATCATCCAGTTATAGCAATCAGTCATTATCTTAATAATTATACACAGCTTAACTTAATTATCATCATCTTAATGGCTCGCTGGCATTACTTCTCAACCACTCCTTCTGGCAAAATGCCAGGCACCAACTTGACTTGGTTGTGGCTCTCAACAGTCTAATAAATGTTTAACAAAATTAACAGAAAAGCATATACGTTCATCCCTTCATATATCCTGGTAAAAATTCTAAATGCCAAGGATAAAGATCTCATGTAATCTGGGCTGGGGATGTGGCTCAAGCGGTAGCATGCTTGCCTGGCATGTGTGCAGCCCAGGTTCGATCCTCAGCACCACATACAAACAAAGATGTTGTGTCCGCCGAAAACTAAAAAAAAAATAAATATAAAAATGCTCTCTCTCACTCTCTCTTAAAAAAAAAAAAAAAGATCTCATGTAATCTGCCTTGTATTTAGTTTTACTTGGGCCCTGTCACCCCTTTCCCTTTTCCTATTCCTAAGGAATTGTAAATATCTACACTATGCCTGTCCCACTGACATATTTTGGAAGCACATTAACATGCTTGGTCTCCTAGGTTCACAGCTGAAGAGCAATTTGCCTCAGAATGAATGATCACTTGAATTTTACCCAAATTAGATTTAGATATTTGCTTTTAGCCTTATAGACTTAAAGGCGATGCTGGAACAAGTTGACTTTGGGGGCTATTATGATGCATTTTGCATGTGAAAAGGGGGTCAGGGTGCAATCATTAGATTAAATGTTTGTGTACCTCAAACTCACATCTTGAAATCTAATCCCCCATGTGATGGTATTTGGAGGCAATTAGGTCATGAGGGTGAAGCTCTTATGAATATCAGTGCCCTTATAAAACATAACAGAGGGGCTGAGGTTGTAGCTCAGTGGTAGAGCACTTGCCTCCAGCACGAAAGGCCCTGGGTTCGATCCTGAACACGACATAGAAATAAATAAGTAAAAATATTGTGTTCATCTACAACTTAAAAGACAAAACAACAATAACAACAAAACACATAATAGGGAGCCGGGTGCCAGGTGTAGTGGCGCATGCCTGTAATCCCTTGAGAGGCTGAGACAGGAGGATCAAGAGTTCAAAGCCAGCCTCAGCAAAAGCAAGGCACTAAGCAATTAAATGAGACCTGGTCTTTAATAAAATACAAAATAGGGCTGGGGATGTGGCTCAGTGGACTTGATAATAATAATAATAATTATTATTATTATAGCAGAGAGCTCCCTTATCCCTTTCATCAGGTGAGAACACAAGATGACAAAGAAGATGGCTGTCTTTGAATCAGGAACTGGATCTGCCTATGCCTTGAAGTTCTCAGCCTCCAGAACTGTGAGAAATTTTTTATAAGCAATCTCTCTATGATATCTTTGTTGTAACAGCCTGAATGGTCTAAGACACCACAACAACATGATTTATGTCTTAAATGTGTTAAATGAGGTAAAGGTTTATAGGCTCACTTTTACAGTGTTTTTCCTTTGGTATTTAATTATTGCTATCCTACTGGGAAAAATGTGCATATATAATATACATATTATATATATAAGACTTATATAGGTGATGTTTTATTTATTGGTACCAGGGATTGACCTCAGGGGCACTTGACCACTGAGCTAAAGTCCCCAGCCCTATTTTAAATACTAGATAAATTATTAGATAAATACTAGATAAATTTATCTAGTATTTTCTATTTTATTTTGAGACAGGGTCTCACTGAGTTGCTTAGCACCTTGCCATTGCTGAGTCTTGCTTTGAACTTGTTATCCTCCTGTATCAGCCTCCAGAGCTGCTGGGATTACATGCATTCCACAAGGTGCCCTGCTATAGGTGATGCATTTTCTGTGCATTACAGATAATGTTATTTGTCCCTAAAGTTTTTCTCCCTTATCATTGAATAATGTATACACACTAACTTGGGTAAATGCATAAAATTTTTTTCCAATATTTAGCTTTAGTAACTTATCTTATTGTTTGTAATTTTGGTCAACTTGGACCCAGAGATTTAACCACCAAAGATGGAGCATTCTTCTATGTAAAAAGAAATATTTGAAAAAAAGAGATTGCGGGGGAGGTATTGGGGGTTGAACTCAGAGGCATTTGACCACTGAGCCACATCACCAACCCTATTTTGTATTTTATTTAGAGACACGGTCTCACTGAGTTGCTCAGAGCCTCATCATTGCTGAGGCTGACTTTGAACTCAAGATCCTCCTGCCTCAGCCTCCCGAGCAGCTGGCATTACAAGTGTACACTACCATACCTAGCAAGAGATTCTTTATTTAAAACATGGATATGCATCATCAAAAGGTCTACTAATACACAATTTAAAAGGACAATGGACATTAATTGATACAAATATATTAATATCTTAGATGGATCTCAAAGATATAAAAGAAAAAGCTACTTCCAGAGGTCACATACTATGTAATTATATATATTTTTTTCTTTCCTGTACTGAGACTGAATCCAGGAGTGCCCTGCCACTGGGCTACATCCCCAGCCCTTTTTATTTTGAGACAGTTCTTTTTTTTTTTTTTTTTTTTTGGTTCAAAGGTCATGATTGTTGATTTTTTTTTATTTTATTTTTTTATTGTTGGCTGTTCAAAACATTACATAGTTCTTGATATATCATATTTCACACTTTGATTGAGACAGTTCTTGCTAAGTTGCTCAGTCTGGCCTGGAACTTGTGATCCTTCTGCCTCAGCCTCCTGAGTGGCTGGGATTACAAGCATGTGTGGGAGGCCACCATCTCATGTGACTAGCATTTTCCCCTCTTGATCGGTTTGAGGCACTGCCGGTCACTCCGGGTGATCTGGCTACTTTTAAGTGGCTGAAGACAGTAGCCCCAATCTTAAGGGTACTAAAAATGCAGCCAAATGTGTCTTCATGCAAAGACATGCATTCCTACAATCCCATGGGTCGAGCTACACTTGCCTGTCCTTTGTGATAGTACCCCTTTGCCCTGTTTGGGACAGAATGTTCCATGGAAATGCCCTTTGTGTGTCCCCTTCTCTTGCTCTGCCTTTGGGTGTGGCCTTCCTAGATGTCAACCTGCTGACAGCAAACATCATGAAACTAGATTCAACCCCTTGAAACCTGACCACTTGCCTCATTTGAATGGCTTCTCCTCAATATAAGGGGTCAGCACTCACTCGCTCTCTCTCTCTTCTCTCCTCTCTCTCTCCCTCCCCCCTTAAGATCAGAGGAGCCTTCACAGGACCCCCAAAGAAAAAGGTATCTCTGTCTCATGTGTGGTTATTTATGCATCGCAGTTCCCCTTGAGTGACCCTGAGTGTTCTTATCGCCAGGAACATGACAAGCATGCACCATTGCACCCAACTTAGGCAACATCTTCAAAGAACAAAATGGAACAGATTAGGGCTGGAGTTGTGGCTCAGTGGTAGAATATTTGCCTAGCACATGTGAGGCACGGGGTTCAACTCTCAGCACCACATTAAAAATACACAAATAAAATAAAGGCATTGTGTCCATCTATAATTTAAAATCTACAACTTTAAAAAAATGGAACAGATTAGTGATTTCCAAAGAATGGGAACACTTTGTTCCAACTATAAAGGTGTGGCACCATAAAGGCACAGCACTTAAAAACAGAGCATAAGGGGCTAGGGTTGTGGCTCAGTGGTAGAGCACTTGCTTGGCATGAGTGAGACACTGGGTTCCATCCTCAGCACCATATAAAAATAAATAAATTAAATGAATGTACTGTGACTGTCTACAACTAAAAAAATTTTTTTTTTAAATACAGCATAAGGGGCATACACACCAACCAATGCATGTAAAAATTGGTGCAATCTAAATAAGACTAGTTATTAGTCTAGTTAATGTTTTACAGAGATCACTTCCTGAGTTTATTGTACTGTAGTTATATAAGGTGTTGTCATAGGGGAAGCTAGGTGAAGGGTACATGGAATTCTGCTACATTTGCAATATCCTGAGAGTCTAGGTTTATTAAAATAATAAGGAGTTGGGTGGGGGGCAAGAAACACTAGCTTATTAAATATTTTCTTATCTTTGAAAACAAAACCATCTGCTGACTATTCATGGTCTCATATGTTGCTTCCTTTAATCCTCCTGATGTCTTGTAAATATTATAAACTCTCATATTCCTTGAAATTGAGAGTAAGATAAGTAATTCGTCCACGGCACAGTTACTCTTAGAGATAGCATTTGAGTCCAGAATGTTGTATACTCCACTTATGGGTTTTTAAACTCAATCCTGATTGGTCTCACTTATATGACACCATAAGCTATTCTTCTCTTTGACAAAATTTAGAAGATTTTATAATTGTCATTTTCTGCTTAAAAAAAAAAAAAGACTCTCATCCTGTGGGGTAAACAGCAAAACAGTTAAGGGGAATCATCTATGGTTGGAAGCGCACATGTACGGGCAGCATATGTATAAAATTACAATCGTTAAGGTAAAAATGTAAAGTATTAAAGTGGAAAAACAAGGTATTATTAATACCAGGTTAAGCGATGTCTGAAAATTACACAATCGGGGATTTAATAAAATTCTTGGGCATCACTCAACTATTAAATCTGATTTCTCGGTATCTCCACTTCCAAGACCTTGTTATGCTTTGCCAAGAATTCTAAGAAAGGGGAGCCACTTAGAATGCACAATCAAGGATGCCAATGGTGACAGCTGGCAGGATCTTCCACAGTGGCACATGTGGAACCAGACGGCCCCAGCCCGCGGAGGCTGGGGGACGATCATCAGGGTTCAGATATTCCTTCCACCGCGCCCGCAGCTGCAGGCAAGCCTGGCGTTTTCGGCAGTTACGGTCACTCCATAAAGGCCACTCGGCCAGGCCTTTTCCCACTGCTCTGGGGCACGGAGCGACCTGGCGTCCTGACTTGTACCCTCGGGTCCTCTCCCCCTACTGGCCCACACAGCAGCAGACCCCACAGCGCGAAGCCCCACAGCGAACTTAACTACACCCACGGAGCCTTAAATGCTGCCAAGAGTACCGCCCCGCGGCCATCGCTGGCCAGCGCTGCCCCTGCCCGGCGTGCCCATCACGTGGCGGCGCAACCCAATGAGCGAGGCCCACGCAGTCCAGACAGCCGCATGCGCTCACAGAGCCGCCGCGGTACGCCGGCGTTAGTGCCCCTCGAAGGTCCGGACCGTAGGGAATAAGGGTTCCCACGGAGCATTGTTTCCGAGCTAGGTCGCGGGAGCGTGTCCTGATTGGCTAGTTCTGGAGGCGGGGAGGGGACCTATTTGAGAGAGGGACCGCTTCCTGAAGCTTGAGGCAGGAAGTTATCTGTTCTTCGGAGTCCTGTGGAGAAAGTCTTCTCTGCCGCGCTGGTGGCGGCTAGGGCTGGAAGTGGCGGGGTGCCGACCGTCTGTCCACACAGCACCACGGCCGCCTCCTCCAGCCCCGAGCCCGGCGCGGCCGCCCCGGGGGCTCCTCCGGGATCCCTGAAGCGGCTCCGAGGGGCGCGTCCCCAGGCGTCGGTGCCGGCTCGGGGACTGGCTGCGCTCTTGAGCGCTCGGGGCCGCAGTGGGAAGGACCCCCGCCTCTCCTGGAAGCCCAAGGCCCGGGTCCACAGCGCCCGCCTTGGACCTGGGACCCGACGGAGCCAACACGCTCAGCCCGGGCCCGCCGCAGGCGGGGCTCTGCCTCGTCTCTGACATGTCGCCCACTCTCTCCCACAAGGACAACAGTCGGCAGCGGCGGCCAGGGACTTTCAACCACGTTCTGGACATGAAGATCGGCCCCCTGCCGCCAGGCAGCTGGGAGGACAGCCACCCGGCCTCAGCGGGCGGGGAGGGGGACCGGGAGGCCCTCCTGAGGGACCCCAACCCCGTGGACTTCCCCAAAGCCCCGCGCGGCTGCCGGGCCGAGCTCAGCAGCATTCTGCTGCTGCTGTTCCTCTACGTGCTCCAGGGCATTCCGCTGGGCCTGGCGGGCAGCATCCCGCTCATCCTGCAGAGCAAAAACGTCAGCTACACGGACCAGGCCTTCTTCAGCTTCGTCTTTTGGCCCTTCAGTCTCAAGTTGCTCTGGGCCCCGTTGGTGGACGCGGTCTACTTTAAGAACTTCGGTCGGCGCAAATCCTGGCTGGTCCCTACACAGTATATATTAGGACTCTTCATGATCTACTTGTCCACCCAGGTGGACCGTTTGCTCGGGAACACGGACGGTAGGACCCCCGACGTGGTCACTCTCACCGTGACGTTCTTTTTGTTTGAATTCTTGGCCGCCACTCAGGACATTGCGGTGGATGGCTGGGCATTAACTATGTTATCCCGAGAAAACGTGGGCTATGCTTCCACCTGCAATTCCGTGGGCCAAACCGCTGGCTACTTTTTGGGCAATGTTTTGTTTTTGGCCCTTGAATCAGCCGACTTTTGTAACAAATATTTGCGGTTTCAGCCTCAACCAAGGGGAATTGTTACTCTTTCAGGTAGTGTATTTAAACCATTTCGCTGCTAAGTTTATCTTAGGTGTCTGGGTCCCTCGGACAGTGTGTTTGACGTCGCAGGGAAGCTCATTATTTAATTTGCTGGAAATCTTCGCGGTAAATTACTCGAGGTGTGTTTTCTGTCCGGTTAAAGCGGGCTTTGAAAGTACAATAAAGCCGAACGACTGCTGTACAGCAGTGGTAGTTGATCAGTACCCTACAGTGAATAGGGAGAAGCGACCCAGAAAATAACAAAACTCTCAGTTTAGGGACCCACGGGCACTTGCTTGAGTCACAGATGCACATTTTTTTTTTTTTTTTTTTTTTTTTAAAGGCTAGCTTGTGGGCTCACATTTTTACCTTTGGGTTTTGTGGGATTGAGATTTCCAGCTCCATTCAGATCCATTCCCACCCCAGTCTTGTGCCGGTTGTCCTCATCTAGCCTTCTGGTGAATGGAGCAGGGTTGTTAATTCATTCACACAGCATTGAGTCGCTCATGTGACAGGATTCAAAGGGCCTCCTGTGAATAAGACACAGTCCCTGTGCCAAGGAATGGAGAGATGGTCCATTTTGGGGAGCCTAGAGTTGCCAGCCATTGACTGCCTGCTGGAGTTGGGCATTGCATTGCAGATAGCAGTTATTTTGTTCTTTGCTGGATTTTTGTTTAGACTTACTTAATCTTTTGAATAGCTGTTTTAGTAACTATGGAATTTGAACTTTTTTCTCCAGTAGATTCTAAAAATAGTTTACTTTTTGGTTTAACTTACCTGTAGGGGGCTTCTATTTTGGGGTTTAAACATTTTAGTTTTATTCTCCTTCAATTTTTTTTCAGTGGATTTTTTTGGTGAGGGGCAGGGGACAGGGTTTACACGTGTTAGGCAAGTGCTGTACCACTGAGCTAAGTCCCTTGCTGTAACCAATCATTTTGAGGAACTTAACAAGAAAAAATCATGAAACAAATGAAATTGTTTAGATAATTAAAGAAGAGTTAAACATACAGGCACTGTTTAGAAAATCTATTAAAAGGAGGCATAATTTTTTAAAATTTTGAATATGTTCTGTGTTTACAAAGTAGTACTTGAAAAAGTAAATTTAGAACAGAAAAGCTAAGATGAGAGTAGAACCCTTTAGACACAAAGCCTTATTAGGCTGAGATTGGCTTTTTTTGTACCTTTAGGGATCCAGGATAATCCTGAACTCAAGAAATAGGCTTTCTGGTTAAAATACCCCGTGGAGTCGCTGCTCACCTCATTCATACAATCAAAGAGCTCCCTGGACACTGAACCTCTAAAGGGAAACAGTCTCTCCTGGAGCAGAAGCATTGGGGTTTGCTCCGGAGCATAGTATAGTTGAGCAAGGGACTGGGCCAGGCCCCAGCAGCACTGCTACTTGGGAGGAACCACTTCACTTTTGTATTAGTTATTAAAAATACAATTCAGATTCTTTGGTCAGGTTCCCCCAAATTCTTCTGAGGTGTCCATGTTCAACTGCTTGAGCTTTGTTTTGGCAACCCCCTACCCGAAGTTGCTTATAGGCTGTTCTTCACCTTGTTTCCAAGGCTGCAGAGCAGAAAGTAGACTCTGTTTTGAGGAGGTGGAGTTAAGTATACATTTATTTTTTACTGTGACTTGTTCAGGACCACATTTTACAGAATGCCTTGTTTCCTTTATTGTTTCTGGAAAGGAAAGTTCTATTAAAATTGTTTTGTTTGAACATAGAATAGTTTTTTTAAATTATGGTTTATTTTGAAAATTTTTGAGTTTAATTCAAATATGCCAATACCTTCCAAAATAAGGTAATATTCAGAGACAATTGTTCTGATCAGATGGCTTAGAGAAATTTCTGGAATATTCACATTCAAAGATTCCTTATTAATGAATGTCTGACTTAAATCTAACCAAAAACTGCAACATTATTCTTTGTACATTTTAATTATATAGTGTTAACAAGCTTAGTTGCAAATAAATTACTTAAGCTATTTGTTTAAAAAAAAAGAAAGAAATAGGCTTTCTGGTTTTCAAGAATCCTTAGAGGCAAAGAGAGACCTTTCAAGCTGCAAGAAATGATGAAAGTAATCCAGAAGAACATAAAGTTTTATTACTTGAAAAGTTCATGTATTTCATTCATATATATGGAAACTGAAGTCAACTGATTAGAGATAGACATGTACTGGTAGTTTGTTTTCTGAGTCCTTTTTTTTTTTTTTTTTTTTTATATTTATTTTTTAGTTTTCAGCGGACATAACATCTTTGTTTGTATGTGGTGCTGAGGATCGAACCCGGGCCGCACGCATGCCAGGCGAGCGCGCTTACCGCTTGAGCCACATCCCCAGCCCATGTTTTCTGAGTCCTTATCTGGTGCTTTTCCTATAGTTGGTAGGATAGATTAGGAAAAACCTTGAAACCTAAACATAATCATTTGCTGACTGGACTTTCCTACCAGAGAAAAGCAACACTGTAATTCCTGATGTCTAAACACTGTAAGTCCTGATGTCTAAACAACCTGCTGTGGAGTGCCTTATTCCAGAAATGGCAGATTGAAGTTTTTGTGTTAATTTTTTTAACTGTCTAGGCCATTTACTCCGCACTAAATGCCAGTTTGGTGCTATCCAGGTGGTAGGTGTTATGATTTAATAAAACCCGGGAATTTTCTGTTCCCAAGGAACTCAGTTTATAGTGAAGATTTGTGAACCAAAATGATGAAGTGGGTAAATGGATAATGTAAATGAGTCAACTGAGTTGGTGCGAGAGTTTATGAATTGGAGGGGACAATGATGACATGAAAACCCATGCCCCTATAAAGGTAAGAGTTTCAATTCCAATAAATTGTTTTCTTGTGGCAGTAGGATCCCAGGATTACTAGATCTTATATATATTCAAGAAAAGCTGGAAATTCCCTTTATGCAACTAGGCCTTCTTTTTAGAATTGAGGCAGGACTAATTGGCCCATTACTAAATAGACCAGTTATATATACGGAAGTACATCATTTAGCATCCACATCTAAGGTTAAAACATTACCTTATGTTCTCATAAAGGCAAAAGTATACAAATGGAGAACAGATCTGTAGTTTTTAGCTTAGGGTTGTGGGTGGGGAGAAGTTAGGTAAGTATTAATGGATAGCATGAGGGAGTTTGGGAGGTGATGAAATTGTATCTCCCCCAACCCCCCATACTGGGGAATGAACCTAGGGGTACTGTACACTGAGCTACATCCCAGCCTTGTTTTTTTTATTTTTTGTTTTTGGTATTTTGAGACGGGGGCGGGGGGAGTGTCTGTAAATTGTCCAGGCTGAACTCCTACTTGTGATTCTCCTACCTCAGCCTCCGAAGTAGCTAGATTATGGTTGTGCACCACTATACCTAGCCTCTTCTGTATCTTGATTATGGTGGTAGTGATTTGAAATCTCTGCATGTGTTAAAACTCACACAGCTAAACACCTAAAAGTTCAATCTTTAAGTTATTTATTTATTTATTTGGGACCGGGAATTGAACTCACGGGCACTGGACCACTGAACCACATCCCCAGCCCTGTTTTGTATTTTATTTAGAGGCAGGGTGTCACTGAGTTTCTTAGTGCTGAGGCTGGCTTTGAACTCATGATCCACCTGCTTCAGCCTTCCAAGCCACTAGTATTACATGCATGCACCATTGCGCCTGGCAAAAGTTCAATTTTAATGTATAACAGTTTAAAAGTACCATTTATTTTTTAAAACATTTAGAAAACAATTCATTATCTTAAAAGCTAATGTCATTCAAAGTATGATGATATAAAACCCTTGTGTTTAGCTCCCTTTTTGTCTTCAATGGAACAAGGTAATCAATCTGGTGGATCTTTTTGAACTTATTTTCAAATCTTGGGGCCCAAGTGGTAAAGTGAGATAAATGGAGGAGTGCTGGGGTTAGACTCAGGGGAAATTAGATATTAGAAACCAAAAACCCACACCCCAGAAGGAAAGTCTTAAAACTTTTTTTGTTTAAATACAAAGAAAAGAAGAAATGATATTGTGTGTTTTCTTGATCAAGAACTAGAAAATGCTTTTGTGTGGTTAGTTCATTTACAAAATACACTGTAAATTTAAAAATTATTTGTCTTATATCAGTTTGAATTTCACTTCTAATGTTGAGAATTATTTAGAGGCAAATTGTATTAGCCTTTACTATATAACTTTATCAGTGTAAGAATCACAGTGACTAATTATAAGCAGTATCCTGCTTTCATGTTTAGTGTACTAAAAAACTATAATCTGAGAAGGCAAAATAGACTTACCTAATACAAAGAGCTGTTCTGTTTCTAGAGAATTAAAAATGTAAAATATAAAATCCCTAATTTTACCATTCTTTAGACACAATTGTGAATAAATCTTGCATTTTATACTTGTTCTTTAATTTCATTCTTTTCCTTCCTTGGGAATACTGTCTCTACTGGCTAAAATTCAATGGTCATTCATTAAACTGTAGAATAGGTGATTGCAACATGCCTAGAGGTTTCTAACTTTTTTGTTTGAATTCTAGCACAATCTTAGAACTTTCACCTATATAAACTTTCCACATATTTTTTAAAACTTATATTCAAATAATTATAGATTCACCAGAAATTGTAAAGAAGTTTTTTAGAAAATCTCATGCACCCTTCTTGCTTCTTCTTGTCAACATTTTACACACCTATAGTATAACATCAAAACCAATAAATTGATGTGGATACAATCTGTAGACCTGGTTCAGATTTCACAAGTTAAGTATGTACACACTAGTGGGGTGTGTGTGTGTGTGTGTGTGTGTGTGTGTTTAAGTGTGTAGTTTTGAGCAATTTCATCCCATGTCCAGACTTGTATACTAACATTATAATCAAGGTTACTCAGCTGTGATGGTTCCTTATAGGATTCGTTTATGTTGCCTCTGTAACTATCCATCTCTTCCTCTCCACCCATCCCTAAATCCTGGTAGCCATTAATCTGTTTTTCATCTTTATAATTGTTATTTCTTAAATGAAATCATTCAGTATCCTTTGGAAACTGACTCTCTTCATTTGGCATCATTTCTTTGAGGCTTCTCGAAGTTGTATGTATTAATGGTTTCTTTTTATTTCTGAAAAGTATTTTATTTACTTTTTTTTTTTTTTTAAACAGTACTTGAAGTTGAACTCAGTAGTGTTTTACCTCTGAAAAACATCCCTAGCCTTTGTCTCTTTAACTTTTTTGAGGCAAAGTCTCATTAAATTGTCCAAGCTGTCCTTGAACTCATGATCCTCCTACCTTAGCCTCCCATGTAGCTGGGGTTACAGGCATGCACAACCATGTCCTGCAGAAGTATTTGTTAGACATGCCACAGTTTTTTTTAGTAACACATTTATTGAAGGAGTTCAGTTCATTTAGTAACAGATCTATTGAAGGAGTTCTTTCTAGTTTTTGACTCTACTCTCTGAAAATAAGTCTTCCTTTCCCTGGGAAAAATGTCTAAGATAACAGGTGCTGGGTTGTATGGAAAGTCCATTTTTAGTTTTGAAAGGCCTTGTTTTCATAGTAACCATGCCATTAAATCTTCCTGCCAGCAATGAATGAGTGATCCAGTTTCTTTCCATCCTTGCCAGCATTGGTGTTCTTGTTTTTTCTTTTGTTTTAGTTGGTCTGATAGTTACATAGTCTGTTAATTTTATAGCACAATGTAAGTTGTAATAAAATAAAATACTGGAGGGTCTGGGGTTATAGCTCAGTGGTAGAGCACTTGTTTCACACGTGTGAGGCACTGGGTTCGATCCTCAGTACCACATAAGATGAATAAATAAAGTATTGTTTCCATCTACAACTAAAAATATTAAAAAATAAAATAAAATACTGGAATAATTACATGAATACTATCTGAAGAGGATGAAGTTGCCAAACTGCAACTGCTGATTCCAACCTTGAATCTTGATGTGATGTGAGTGCCAACAGTTTTATAAATCTGACTTCAGCTCAAAAGATTGAGGGATGTCATATTGTACAAAGGTTGTAAAAGTTGATGCAAGAACCTCCTGTCATAGCTTCAGAATAGAGATGTATGTTTTTAGTTAAATGAATTTTGTGTCTGGCCAGAACAGTGATTTACTGACATGTATTCAGTAATAAAAGCACCAGAGTTAAGGTGACTTGGAAGCATTGAGCATATTGGCCTCTTAGCCTCAGTCCTATGTGGTAGGCTGAGTTTGAGTCTAGTGGAATAACATGCCCCTTAATTGAAAGCCAGCTGCTTCAGTTGGTGCTTGACTAATGAAATAACAATCTCTTCTACCTCTGGAGGAAAACCCGACATTCTTGGAATTAATGAAATAACATGTGATTGCATAAGTTGTACCTTCCTGCTGGATTAAGAAATATAAGAAATTGGGATGATTTCCAAATTAACCTTGTATTTACCCTTTATTTGAGATACATGCTGTCTTTTAAAAACCTAACCCCCCAAGTAAGAGGAGTACCTTGTATAAGCAAAACAGTGTGTTGTTTGTTTATTTGTTTGGCATTGGGGATCGAACCCAGGGCCTTTTGCATGCAAGGCAAGCACTCTGCCAACTGAGCTATATCTCAAGCCCCAAGCCAAACAATGTTTTGTGTGAGTTCTCTTCAGTGGCTTGGCTATTTTGAGCAATGTTTAAGGGAGAGATTTGTGGAATAAAAGAAAGGTCTATTTCTGCTAAATATCAGGTGAGGGCCCAGGGTCAGACTATAATATTATTGCTTCAGTTTTCTCTGCTGTGAAAATGAGAGCCTTGAACTGGTGGGTATCCACACCCTTCATGCCCTGACTGGTGGAGTAGAGCATTACCAAAACCAAGAAAGTGAAAGGAATGCCTGACTGTTTATTTAGATCAGAAGTTATCAGGTTGCTTTCCTGCCATTGGCTTCTGAAGGACTGAAGTTGATTTCTGAATTGTTAGAGCTGGAGGGAGGGAACCTGACCTGAGCCAAGGCAGGTTGTATCAGTCAGTGCTGCTTATTTTTTCTCTCTCCCAATGGTGGAAGAGTGATTCTACACCACAAAAGTCCAAAGTTCTCAATGAAAGCCTTTAAAACTTAAAGTTTTTTCAAAGTATAATGTTTTATCATAAATCTTGGAAATTTTCCTTCTCCAATATATTGTTATTGCAGTATTTCCCTATAAATTATTGAGAAAGCTACATGTGGGTTTGTAGCTCATGCCTGTAATACTGTGGAGGCTGAGGTAGGAGGATCTCAAGTTCCAGGTTAGCCCAGCAACTTAGCAAGACTCTGTTCTCAAATAATAAAAAGGGCTGGGAGTGCCTCCTGGAATCAATCCCCAGTACTCCTACCCACACAAATAGAATGAATTCTTTAGGAAGTTTGTTTATTCTACGGATTGGCATTCCCTTTGGCATACCACCATATGGAGAGGAGGAGATAGGGGGGGTGTGATACAAGTAGCCAGTTTAAAGAAGTTCGGTAGCATCCATGTTCCAGACCTCATGGTTGAATTAACTAAAATGTATACCTGTTCTTTTAAGGGTATCTGGCTGGTAGAAAAGAGTCTCCTTGCTGTGGGTATATCTGAGCATCTGGTCAAGTAATGGAAACATTCTTGTTTTGAGACTAGACCTGAGTTTGAATCATACCTCTGGCACGTATGGTTCATGATCTTGTTTGTTTACAAAGTAGGAATAATATATTGTCTGTCTTGGTCAGAGGTTTTTAAAATTTAAATGAGATATCCTTGTTTTTCCCAGTGTTTATGTAATAGACACTCAGGTGCTAGTTTTTGTATGCTTTTGGTCTCTGATGAATGTTACATGCTCTTAATTTTTGCATTGGTGGGTATACTAGGTAAGATCTTATAGCTACTTTACAGGTCTTTGTTTAAAAATCATATTTATGGAACTTGAACATCATCAGCTTTGACATCTTGATCATATGTTTATATATCAATGTTTTTGCTGATAAAATGCATGTATCAAAATTAACCAAATTGTTAATATGCAGTATTTATATATTTTCAATAATGATATGTCTTTACAGTGATTGTTATATCATGCTATGGATGTTCTCTAACATCAAAGTAATATGAATAAATAATGATTTGCTGGGCATAGCGATGCAGCCACTTGGGAAGAGGATCCCAAATTTCCAGGCAGCCTGGGCAACTTAGTGAAACCCTGTCTCAAAATAAAAAGTGTTGGTGGTATATATAGTTCAGTGGTAGAGCATTTGCCTAGCATGTGGGAGGCCCTGGATTCCATCCCCAGCACCACAAAAGGAATCAATAAATGAAAGGAGAAATACATGAATTTTAAAATAAATAATCTAGTGGTCATTATTTAAAATAAATATATTCATAAACTTCTGGGAGAGGCTAAACTGTTCATTGGCTATTGGTTTTTTTGCTCTTGTTTGTATGAGGTATGGAAAGCCCTTGAATTTGGGCTCTAAATGATCCATTGTCAGTACTCCTTTCGTGTGTACTGATATTTTTTCCTCATAGCACAAAGAAATTAAGAATAAACTTAGCTGCAAGCTTTACTGAAACCTGTTTGATCTTATTCCACACCTGTAATCCAAGCTACTTGGGAGCAGAGGCAGAAAAATCACAAGTTCAAAGCCAACCTGAGCAATTTAGCAGAACCTTGTCTCAAACTAAAAAAAGGGCTGAGGATGTGGCTTAATGGTAGAGTGCTTGCCTAGTATATGTGAGGCCCCTATATTAGTTCTTGGTACTGCCAAAAGAAAACAAAAAGAAGAGAGGAGGAGGAGGTGTTTATTTCCCCTAGAGAAATAGAACTCTTAAAGTAGTATATAACTGGAAAACATTTTTTAAACAATTTTTATGTCAATTTTATTGAGGTACAATTAACATACAGTAAGACTTGCCAATTTTTTTTTTTGTGTGTGTGTGTATGTGGTACGAGGGATTGAACCCAGGACCTTGTGCATGCGAGGCAAGCACTCTACCAACTGAGCTATATCCCCAGCCCTGGAAAACATTTTTAAAGATTTATATAGAAATTACTAATTGGAATTTCTAGTCACAGTGAAAGTATTATGTATTTTTTTCAGAACTTAACAGCTTCTGAATTGCTGGGATTACAGGTGTGCTCCACTGTGCCCAGCTTATTTTGAGACTGGGTCTCTCTAAATTACCCAGGTTGGCCTTTAATTTATGATCCTTCTTTCTCTGGGATTATAAGTATGTACCATCAAGCCTTAAGAAGATTTTTAAAAATTTTTAATTTATTTTTTCCCCACATTTTTTATTAGTGTATTATAGTTGTACTCAATGATGGGATTTATTGTTACATATTCATACATGCACACAATATAATAATAAACATCAAAAACATTGGACAGTTTAGAAACGAAAAATCTAATGTAAATAACCATCAGTTGCTTATTGTCTGCATTGTTGTAATGTAATAAAGAGCTGAAATGGTATGTGTAAGTATAACTGATGAATCTTCTGGGATATGAAGAACATCTCCTACCCCCAGCCCTGTCCTTGTTTTATTCAACTCAGTCAAGCTTTTTCCATGGTAAAGTCTTGCATGCCTGTTCTGGATCTGGGTATTTTAATGCAGATTTAGCAGAAGTAGGACTGTTACTTGTTGTGCCTCATGTGGGGCCTAATAGATAGGCACCTATATCACTTGATTTTTTAGAAAATTAAAAAAATTTTTTTTTAGTTGAGGAAAAGTTGTAAACAGAGTTATTTAGCATCAATGAAGTTATGTCATTTCAAAAGTTAATTACAGATTTAAAACATTCTTAATTTCAGATTTTCTTTTTTTCTGGGGAACTATATTTTTAATAACAACGACATTAGTTGCCTTTCTGAAAAAAGAAAACAAAGAAGTATCGGTAGTAAAAGAAGAAACACAAGGGATCACAGATACTTACAAGCTGCTTTTTACAATTATAAAAATGCCAGCAGTTCTGACATTTTGCCTTCTGATTCTAACTTCAAAGGTAAGAAACTGATAAAGCAAATGTACCATTCTATTATAATTACCAATATCAGGGAATAGTTTCAATAACTTTTCATATAAGTTCCTTTTCACTGCCATTATAATTTAACAACAAAAAAGAACATTTTTATTAAATGTATTTTAAATGACTTAATGAGGTTATCAAATATAATTTCAAAGTAAGATAAATGTTTTGGGATCTTGAAAAGATTTATGTCAGTGTGAAGAACTGCTGATTTATTTAATTAACAGCATTAATGCTGGGAGTAGAAATGAATGCCTTAAAAAAGCAATAGTTGGGCTGAGGTTGTGGCTCAGTGGTAGAGCGCTCACTTAGCACGCGTGAGTCACTGGGTTTGATTCTCAGCACCACCTAAAACTAAAATAAAGATATTGTGTTCACCTACAACTAAAAAATATATATTTGAAAAACAGCAATAGTTCTGTACTATTATAACAAGTATACCATTAATTCTGGGGTAGTGAAATTATTAACTGAGTGTGTTTTACAAAGGTGTGGAAGTGTTTGAATATTAGAAGCCTGTTTAAAAATCCATTGGATTGTTTTTTAAAATATTGAAAAGAAATAATCATAAAATACATGAGATTACTGGTGACTTAGTCTGTTAAATGTCTCTGTTTTATAGTTCTGAAATATTTTTACGACATGTTAAAAGAAAGGTAAATATAGTTTATTGGAGGGAGCTTTGCTACTGGAGGGATTAATATTCCTTAAATCTGGAATCTTACAGAATTTTTTTTTCCTCTGTACTGGGGATTGAACTCAGGGGCACTCGACTACTGAGCCACATCCCCAGCCCTGTTTTGTATTTTATTTCGAGACAGGGTCTCACTGAGTTGCTTAGTGCCTTGCTCTTTGCTAAGACTGGCTTTGAACTTGCGATCTCCCTGCCTCAGCCTCTTGAACTGCTGGGATTAAAGGCATGTGCCACCATGCCTGGCAAGATTTTTATTTTATCTATGTAAACCTATCTTCATAAGCACTTTACTGCTATCTTTTGATCCCTCTAGAGGTAATATTATAGCTTCCTTGCTTTCTTCTTGTTTTTTGTTGTTCTTTTGTTGTTTTCCACCATACAGGGGATTGAACTAGGTAGGGTTTCCCACTAGGCAAGTGCTCTATTTCTGAGCTACATCCCCAACTCTTTTTTTTAAAAAGCTGCTGCTTCTTTTTTTTTTTTTTTTTTTAATTTATGGTGCTGGGGATTGAACCAAGAGCCTAGAATATGCGAGGCAAGCACTCTACCAACTGAGTTATATCCCCAGCCCTAAAAGTTTGGTTTTGAGACTGGGTCTCATTAAGTTGCTGAGGCTAGCCTTGAACTTATATTTCTCCTGCCTCACAACCTCCAGAGTAGCTAGGATTACAGGGTGCACCACCATGTCTGGCTTCGCTTTATTTATTTATTTATTTATTTTTGTTTTAATTAATTGTACATCATAGGATTCCCTTTGATACATTATATATGATGGAGTATAATTTCTCATTCTTCTGGTTACCTCGATGTATTGACTTCTTTTTAATGGACATATTGGCATTAGTAATGTGACGACTTTTTAAAAATTTGTTTAATTAGGTACACAGGATAGCAGAATGCAGTTTTATTCATTGTACACAATTGCAGCACAACTTTTCATTTCTCTGGTTGTACACAATGTAGTGTCGCACCATATGTGCAGTCATATGTACCTAGGGTAATGATATCCATTTCATTCCACCATCTTTTCTGCCCCCATAACTCCTCCCTATCTATCCCCTTTGCCCAAAGTTCCTCTAATTTTCCCATGCCCCATTCCCTTTATGGATCAGCATCCTCTTATCAGAGAGAACATTTGGCCTTTGGTTTTTTTGGGATTGGCTTACCTTGCTTGGTATGATATTCTCCAACTTCATCCATCTACCTGCAATGCCATAATTTTATTTTCTTTTAATGCTGAGTAATATTCCATTTTGTGTGTGTGTGTATGTGTGTGTGTATATATATATATATACACACACATACAGACACACATACATACATACATACATACCACGGTTTCTTTATCCATTCGTCTATTGAAAGGCATCTAGTTTTTTTCCCTCAGTTTAGCTATTGTGAATTGAGCTGCTATAAACATTGATGTGGCTGCATTATTATAGTATGCTGATTTTAAGTCCTTTAGGTATAGGTGGAGGAATGGGATAGCTAGGCCAAATGGTGGTTCCATTCAAAGTTTTCTAAGGAATCTCCATACTGTTTTCCAGATTGGTTGCACCAATTTACAGTCCCACCAGGAATGTATGAATGTGCCTTTTCCCCAACATCCTCACCGACATTTATTGTTGTCTGTATTCTTGATAATTGTGACTTCCTTAACAAAAGACTCTTAAAGTGCAAGAAATAAAATCAAGAATAAATAAATGGGATGGACTCAAACTAAAAAGCTTCTTAGCAAAAGAAACAATCAATGAGGTGAAGAGAGAACCTATATTTTGTGAGCAAATTTTTGCCACATGCACATCAGATAGAGCACTACTCTCCAGGATATATAAAGAACTGAAAAAACTTAACACCAAATAAATGGACTAAGGAGATGAAAAGATACTTCTCAGAAGAAGCTATACAATTGATCAACAAATATACAAAAAAAAAAAAATTCAACATCTCTAGTAATTAGAGAAATGCAAATCAAAACTACTCTTTAAGATTTCATCTCATGCCAGTCAAAATACTTTTATTTTAAATAGTGAGTTTTTTCTCCTCTTTAGTGATAGGGAAAGAAAGTTTAGAAAATGCTGAAAAGTTCAAACAAGATAACATTACCTAAGTAATCATTTAGAAATTAATATTTCTGTGCATATCTGTAATCCAGTGGCTCAGGAGGTTGAGGCAGGAGGATCAAAAGTTCAAAGCCAGCTTCAGCAACTCAGCAAGACCATAAGCAATTCAGCAAGACTCTGTCTATAAATGAAATACAAAAAAGCTAGGGGTGTGGCCCAGTGGTTAAGTGCCCCTGGGTTCAATCGCGGGTCCTAAATAAATATTTTTGGCATGTTTTCTTTTAGCCCTCCTTTTTTTCTTTCTCCGTATGTGTGTACACATATGTGTGTATAAATACATTTCATATATATATTTACACATATACTTTAAAAGTAGAATTGGATCATTGTAATTTTTTAATCTATTCAAAATATATTACTGTATCATTAAGTGGTTTTTGAAAGCATGCTTTTTATAGCTACAGAATGGCTGTAGTGATATCAGTTTGTCCTAATCCACTCAGTCATTTTTCTGTTATATATTCAGTTTGTTTATGTTTTTTTAATTATAAAATGCACCATTTTTGTGTTTTTTTTTTTATTTGGTGTTCTGAATATTTTTTCTAATATTCTTCAATGGGCAGCTAGTAGGTCAGAGAATGTGATTACTCAACTGCTTTGCAGAAGGTTGTACTAATTTTTACTGTGCCTAGCTATGTGTAAGGAGTTGCTTTAAAACTATAGATTTATTTTTCTTGCTTTTAAGTTGTATATATAAATGGACTGTACAATGTGTAGCCTCACGTCTAATGCTAGTGTTCTTCAGCTCAACACAATAGTGCAATATGTGCAGTTTATTCATTAATATGTATTTATTTTTTATACTGGGAATTGAAGAAGGATCCTTTACCACTGAACTCTTCCCAGCCCTTTTTATCTTTTATTTTGAGTCGGGGTTGCACAAAATTACCCAGGCTGGCCTTGAACTTTTGATCATCCTGCCTCAGCCGTGCAAGTCACTGAGATTTCAGGTGTGCACCTCTACGCCTGTCTTTGTTGTTGTTGTTGTTTTTAAGAATTAATCTAACTGCATCATCCCCCCTCCAATTTTATTCACTCTCTCAATGACATTACAGTGAAACATTAGATGTCCTTAGGAGCTTTGTTGTGATCTATTAGAAATCATCAAAAATATATACATGTGGCAGCAACACCTCATTTCAACTGGACTTCTTGGAGTTAAAGTTCTTTCTTTTAAACTTAAAATATACAATTCAGTAAGTGTGAATTTTTCTTTTCTTTATTTTTTTTAAGCTTTTAAGAGAGAGAGAGGTTTATTTATTTATTTATTTTTTAGTTCTCGGCGGACACAACATCTTTGTTTGTATGTGGTGCTGAGGATCGAACCCGGGCCTCACGCATGCCAGGAGAGCGCACTACCACTTGAGCCACATCCCTAGCCCAAGTGTGAATTTTTCATACTGTTTATTGTAACAGATTGGACTTTTTTGAAGTGGAGACTTAATTATAATCAGAGCCATGTATAATTACTACAGATACTACATTTTCTGTTGTTTTTATTAAATATTATTAGTAAAACATAGGATCAACTGTGTCTTATATAAATTGATTGTTGTGCCAGATATAATAACATACTTACTTGTAACTGTTGTGGGTCGATAATAAAATTGAGGTTTCTTAAAGAATCTGTACTTGGAAGAAAGTATTTCATGACAAATTAAAATAACTTTTTTTTTTTCCCCTCCCCAGATTGGTTTTTCAGCAGCAGATGCAGTAACTGGACTGAAATTGGTAGAAGAGGGAGTACCCAAAGAACATTTAGCTCTACTGGCAGTTCCAATGGTTCCTTTACAGATAATATTGCCTCTGATTATCAGCAAATATACTGCAGGTCCACAACCACTAAATGTATTTTACAAGGCCATGCCCTACAGGTAAAAATGAAAACCTTTGTAAAGGTTAAAATGGGAGCATTCATCAGTATCACTGATATGAATTTAGCATGTGTGGGAAAAGGCTTGAAAAGCATCTTTCATGTCAGTGTCATGTATATGCACTTTCATCTCTTCAACGGGTTTCAGATACAGCCGTCTTCCATATGATAGGCACGTGGATTTCTGTTTGTGTTTTTTAATCTTAAATGGAAGTCAACTCAATGCTCCTTTTTTTGTAGATTGCTGCTTGGATTGGAGTATGCGCTTCTGGTGTGGTGGACTCCTAAAGTAGACCACCAGGGAGGATTCCCTCTGTATTACTACGTCATAGTGCTGCTGAGTTACGCCTTACACCAGGTGAGCTTTCTGTGGTTTTCCCAGGAGGTGAGCTGTTCTGTGCCAAATAAAGAAGGTATTTTTCTTTAGCTGCCTTAAAATATAATACATGTTATTATTTCAGCATGGGTCTCACACTGAAAAAATTAGTTGATTGTGAATTTTAAAACTTAAAAGTTTTTTTTTGCTGGGGATATAGCTCAGTTGGTAGAGTGCTTGCCTTGCATGCACAAGGCCCTGGGTTCAACTCCCAGCACCATAAATAAAACAAAACAAAACAACATAACTGATAGCTTTTGATGTAATGAGAGTTCTGTTCATGATAAGGAGCTTCTTATTTATTCATTGATTCATTCATTTATCTTTTAAGAAAGATGTTGTTTGACTTTATATTTTATTAGAGAGTTTCCTAGAGTATAGTCAAAGAAATTCAGATAACCAGATACTTTAATGGGGAAAAAGGCACAAGGCCAGATAAATTTGAGAAATGATGTACGACATTTTGGATCTGATTCCAAAGCCAGTTAATTTTACTCTTTCTAAGTATTCCTGTCTGTCCCTAGATTTGGGTTCTTTCTTTCTTCAATTTATAATATCTTTTCTTTCTGAAAGTATTGAAAACTAATGATGGTCACTGGATTAAAGGCACTAGGCTTTGGTTTAGATTCTGTATTGAAAGTTACTGTTTACTCTGTGATTTTGGAAGCTGCATGTTGAGCTTGGTTTTCTTGCTTACTTGTGTTTGTAATCCCTAAAAGAAGCTATCTCCTTTTTGCTCTAGCCTTGCCTAAGCTTCTGTTGCAGAATGAAGTATTTTGTTCTGAATGCAAGTGATTCAAGTAAATGGCAGAGCCCCAGCAGTAACTTTGGAACTCAACACAGTTATTGCTAATATATATTTCAAAGTCGTTGTTTATTTTTCAAGGAACCTTGTCTAAACCCTTTCAAAGTTAAATTTACTAAGTTCTTAATGTAGTTTTTAACAAACACCTAAAAATATGGCTACCAATTAAGCTCAGTAGTGTTGCTTTTTGCACACAGTTAAATCATTTAGGAGAATTCCAGTAGTGGATCGTGTTAGATAGTTTGCTAAATCATTGAGGTCTGGCTAGACTTTGTGTGTGTGTGTGTGTGTGTGTGTGTGTGTGTTTGCCCATACTTAGTTAATGCTAGGCACATATGTATTTTAAAAGAAGTGGCTTATTTGTTTTGTGGTGCTGGGGATTGAACCCAGGGCCTTGTGCATGCAAGGCAAGCACTCTACCAACTGAATTATATCCCCAGCCCAAAAGAAGTGTTTTAGCCTGGGTGTGGTGGTACACACCTGTAATCCCAGTGATGTGGGAGACTGACGTAGGAGGATCACAATTTGAGGCCAGCCTCAGAACTTAATGAGACCCTGTTTCAAAAAATAAAACAGAGCTGGAGATACAGCTCATTGGTAAAGGACGCCTGTGTTTAATTCCTAGTACCTCCTATCTCCAAAAAGAAGTGTTTTAACTCAGTCAATGCTTCACTGTGCAGATAAAGAAAATCTATGTTGTTACCATCCCAAAATTATTTGTTTGACTTTAGATTTCATTAGAGACTTTCCCCAAATGTAGTCAAAGTAATTCAGATAACCAGATGCTTTTTGGGAAAAAAGGTACAAGACCAAGTAAGTTCAAGAAATGATGCATACCAATTCTGTAGTAAATAGTGCTTTACTCATCCTTCAACAAATATTAAGTGATCACTGATTCCATGCCAGGAACAATTCTTTTTTTTTTTTTCCTGGTACTAGGGATTGAACTCAGGGGCACCTGACCACTGAGTCACATCCCCATCCCTATTTTGTATTTTATTTAGAGATAGGGTCCCACAGAGTTGCTTAGTGCCTCGCTTTTGCTGAGGCTGGCTTTGAACTCAAGATCCTCCTGCCTCAGCCTCCCAAACTGCTGGGATTACAGGCCTGTGCCACTGCACCTGGCCCAGGAACAATTCTTAATACTGAATATAGCTAAGAAAATCATGCCAAAATCTTGCCCTTAAGGAAGTTATGTCCTAATGACAATCAGAAAGCCTGCAGTGAAAGGAACCTTTTAAATGTCGTATAACTTGCTGGGTGTGGCAGCACTTTCCTGTAATTCAAGTGACAGAGGCAGAGGTAGGAAGAGCCTAAGTTTGAGACCAGCTTTAGCAACCATCTTAAAAAAGAAAAAGGGCTAGGGATGTAGCTTAATGGCAAAGCACACTGGGGTTAATCCCCAGTACAGATGAATGAATGAATGAATGAATGAATAATGTAATGAGTCTCAGTGTTTCAAGGAATATTCTTAGAAACAATGTTTCCATCTTCCTAAATAGAGGGTTTATTTAAGCCTTTTAAGTTCTGTTTGCTTTTAGGAAGGTTTTCCTCTTTAGTTTTTTTTTTTTTAATATATTTTTTATATATAGTTGTAGATGGACACAATACCTTTAATTTAATTTAATTTTTTTAATGTGATGCTGAGGATCGAACCCAAGGTCTCGCACTTGCTAGGCAAATGCTCTACCACTAAGCTATAACCTCAGCCCTCTCTTTAGTTTTTTATACAAATTTTGAAATGCTATTTTCCTTCTGTGTGTGTATAGGATAAAAAAAAAACTATTTATGTTTCTTTGAGTGTTTACCTGTATAATACATGTATGTGCATAAATACATATATGCACACGCATAACAAAATAGTATGTATTTAGGTATAGAAATGACATTTTGCTGTATGCATCCTTCATTGCACCCATCACTTTCTGTGTTGTGCTTCCTGGACTGCTCATGGTGGAGTTAATCTCTCATGTTTGTACCCTAGTGGTACCACGTGTGCACTTCTGTGTACAACACTGCACCTTACCACAGCTGTTGATTCTGTTTTCCCATCTGTCATACATTCTTCAGGCATAAAAGGACTGTTTCTTACTTGTATTGCCATAGTCTTAAAGCCTGGCTTATAGTATGTGCTCAATAAATGTTTGTTGAATTTAGTTCAGTAAAGATAATGAAAATTAGTTTTCAGGATCATGATTTTGATGGTGTTTGGTTTGGTTTTGGTTTGGGGATGTGTGTCCGGCACTAGGGATGGGACTCAGGGCCTTACACATGCTAGCTAAGCAATCTACCACTGAGTTATATTTCTAGCCTGATTTTGATGTCCTTAATTTGGATCATAGCTTTATAAGTAAAATTATAGGAAATATGGGTGCTGTGTAGAGGTAGAGCATGTGTTTAGCATGTTGGAGGCTCTGGGCTCAATCCCCAACATACTGAAAAGTTTTACATTTTTCCCTAGATTACATTGTACAGCATGTATGTTTCTATAATGGCTTTCAATGCAAAGATTAGTGATCCACTTATTGGAGGAACATACATGACCCTTTTAAACACTGTGTCCAATTTGGGAGGAAATTGGCCCTCTACAGTTGCTCTTTGGTTGGTGGATCCCCTCACAGTGAAAGAGTGTGTAGGAGCATCAAATCAGAATTGTCGAACACCTGATGCTGTTGAGGTAAGTATGCTTTGATTTTTAGATAATATTAAACTAATATTAAGACATAACTTTCTCATTTTCCTTTAGAAGTACTGTGTACTACATCTTTTTTTAAAAATCACATTTGCATGTAGTTTCTAGAAAATGAAATGGAGGCTGAGGCAGGAGGATCCCAGATTTAAAGCCAATCTCAGCAACACAGTGAGGCCCTAAGCAACTTAGCAAGACCCCATCTCAAAATAAAAATGGGCTGGGGATGTGGCTCAGTGGTTAAGTGCCCTGGGTTCAATCCTTGGTACCAAAAAAAAAAAAAGGAAATTTGCATATAGTTCATCTGTCACAACTTATGTAACAATTTCTGACAGCCAGACTACATCACTTTAAAGATGCTTCTCAGCAAAGAAGGGACAATCTCTCTCCCTCTCCCCACCATGAGGGTAACGATCCTATACAGTGTTGAGTAAATGCATAAGTAATAGCTAAGTTTTATTATAATAAGAAAGGGAAAAATTCACTGGCTATTCATATAACAATTGTAGCTAAAACTGAATGGTGAGTGGTTTGTTGATAAACTATTTCAAAGTAGCATTAGTCAGCTTCTAGAGTAAGTTCATTGAAAACTTCTTCACATTTCCAGATATGAAAAGCTTCATTTTGAAAATGAGTATTGCTTACAGCAAGAACTGAAAATTGTTTTTTAATCCTGTTACATTAGCATATTAGCATAATTAGCATATTAACATTTTGTCATTTGAATTGAATGAAATATTGAAATGTTTTATCAAAATGTATTTTGATTAATCCTTTTAATTAAAAAGTAGAAACTTTAATTACTGGCTTCCTTCCATTTTGAAATTGTGGAATACTCATGATTATTTCTTTTTTAACAGCTTTGCAAAAAACTTGGCGGCTCATGTGTTACAACACTGGATGGTTATTATGTGGAATCCATTATTTGTGTTCTTATTGGATTTGGTTGGTGGTTCTTTCTTGGTCCAAAATTTAAAAAGTTACAGGATGAAGCACCATCTTCATGGAAGTGCAAAAGAGGCAATTAATGCACACGCTATTGGACATTCTAGAAGGTAACCATAGTTTAGTTTTAATTCAGAGAGCTATGATAATCAGTACACAGGAGTATAAAATAATATTTTAAGCAAGGAAATTGTTAATATAAAATGCCAAATGTTGAAAAGTAGTAACTTTATGTATGATCATTTTTTTTCCTTGTCTTTTCAATGTATTTAAAGTTTTCTTAAGGTCAGGAAATTGGTTCGGAAACAGCTACTCTGGCCTTTTTTATTTGATCTATGTCTTTTTAATTTACTGACCAAAGCATGTTTTAAACTGCATTGCAGTAGTCTTCGGTGGAAACCATGCAGTCAAGTATTGTTCTCAGTACCTGTCATTGAGCTGTATTTAAAACTGCAGTATAGCATATTAGATGGAAGAGAACTTGGTATTCAGGTTTTAACTACAATTAGTTTGATTTGTTGGCAGTTAAAGTCTTACTCGGAATTATAAATTGGTTAAGTTTTATGTGGAATTTGCTGAGAATATAGACTACTGAAACATTATTTAATTTAGTTTTTTTTTTCTTACCATATCTACATTGTTCAAATGAATCTGTGTTAAAAATGACTATTTTAAATGTATTTCCTGCTTTTGTAAGCATTAAAGATTTATAAGATTATTCAGACTATTTTTTATAAAATGAAAGCTATGATTTTTAATTTATTGATTTCTCCTGTTCCTACCCTGATTTGGGGGAAAATATTTTGATTCCTTGTTAACTTTTACCCTAAAGATTAAATATTTTTGTTTGTCACAAGTGCTTCAAGGCACACAGACAGCTAATGAGGGGATCAAGTTTAGTCTTGTTTGTATGTTCATGGCGAAGTTTTGAAAATAAAAATTAAATATTATTGTTCCAGTAGTTTTTTTTTTTTTTTTAATTACCAAGAGGGGGAAAGACAGTAAAACTTTACAATTAACTGAAATTTAAATGAGTAATATGTTTTAAAGAGACAGAGACATTTTGTGCCTTTGACAAATAATGTGGTAGGAGAAAGTTGAATGTTTCTTAAGCACTTTACTAATAAAAAATATCTCATAATTACTTTATGCCAAATCAGGTACTGTATTTTCATTTATTAAAATCTTATTTGTGCACTGTAGTTACCAGTGAAGAGTTGCTATTCCAGAAGAATTAAGCTCTAAGTACATTAGTGATTTCCAATCTATAATGTGCACCCAGTGATAAGGTTCTTTGCATATTTCGTGTTGGGTTGATACTCTAACTCTTTAGAAATTACAAAATTTCTATAAAGGTTAGGGCAAATAGATTGGGTTATAAATCTTAATACTTTTATGTTAGTAGGAAAATATATACTAACTCCTGATTTTGTTAATTTTATGACATAGGTTGAATTTTAGAAAGGGGTTTTTATAAGTAATGGAGGATAAACTGGGTGGGATAAAACAGCACACGCTGAAGAAAGATGGGGCGGTGGCCTCTAGAACGCATGCATTGCCATTGGAAAGCCTATATTGGGCATCACAGTCAGATCCTGAAGAATCACCCGGAAAAATACCCACCCTGGAGGCAAGAAGGCTACACAAAGCCATGGACTACAGACAGTACTTTGTGACATGGTTGTCCATTATTATGTATTATAATCAAAATGTTTACTTAAATAAAGAAAAATCCACTAAACTATCACATGTGAAATGTATTTTAATTTTTAATTTGTGGATTAAGAAGCTCAGATTTCTTAATATTCATATTGTTTTGCATTACACTTTCATAGTTTTAAGTCTATATATCTTTAATGACTTGAAGTTTTAAAACATCTTAAGCCTTTATAAGGTGAAAGCCATTGATTGCATTTGTTCTAGAAATGAACAAAAAATTATTTTGAATAGTCTTGGGTAATTTGGGTACATGTTTGTAACGTATACCAAAAATGATTCATTAATAGTTACATAACTATTAACAACTGTGTTGTGTACATTGATCACAAATAGCATTTTAAAATAAATGATCTACCTGAATCTCATTGTAAATGAATAGTACTAGAAAATGCTACCTTATTTTTATGTTTATTTTTTGATTGGTTGATCCTGCTAATCAGATCCTGCTTTCAAATCTGGACATTACGCCCTCCAGCTGATGCATTATATGTTGACTGGCTAACTGTGGATTGAATAGATCTCTCTTTTTGTCAGTTTCTCCATATGTGCATTGCTTACAATCTGAATACAGCTGAATTTGAAAAATTCTTATAAATTAGCTAAGACTAAAACTGAAAAACTCTGTCCATTGTGAATATTTTAATTTTGGGCTTATCAGTTGCAAAAAGTTTAACACCTCAGCAGATTTCTCTAGAACTTTTTTATATTAAACTTTTGAAATCTAATCTGCAATCTAAAACTCCTATTGGATTTTATCCATTTATTGCAGGGGTTTTTACCCTAAACAGATGTCAGTGGGGCCCTGAAGCCCTTGAATTGCTTACAAATGTCTGAATGTGTAGTTTTTAATTTTCATGGATAGAACTTTTGTTAAAATCTTGAATGGGCTGCAGTCCAAAAATGTGTAATAGCGTTGGCCTTGATTGTGGGCTGCACTGTGAAGCACAATCATAAAACTGGAGTAATAGCTGTGAAGTTGCTTAAATCATCTTGAAAAGAATATTAAGAGAAGAGCTGTGATGAAAACCGGAAGGTGGCTGCATGGGTAGTGCTGAACTTGAACCTTGAAAGGCTGAGAGCAGATGAGGCACTGCCGCTGGAAGAAAGGACACAGTGCTGGATGATGTCCCACAATGCATCTCCTAGCCATTTCCCCTTTTTTGCATGTTGCTGTATACTAAATGATTGAATCATTGTTTCACATAGCAGATGATCAAATTTGTTTTTGCATTTTGGGGAATCATGTTTTCCCAAGTAGTTAGAAGAGTGAGTAAAGCTGTGAAGCACAGGCCCTGCTAAAAATGAAGAAATGCATTATGTTGTGTCCATCTATACCAAAAAATAAATATTAAAAAAAAGAAGAAGAAACAACCTCTTGGGAACATCCCATGCAGATTTCCAAAGTATTTTTTATCATAGTATTAGAGAAAGAAAATAAACTTTAAAATAGTTCCATTATAAGTAGGATCAACATATTTAATAAAAACCATTTTAGTTACAGAAAAGGTGATATTGTATATTGTGGCTACTGGGACTTTTTTAAAACCCATATTTTTATTAGATAACAAGGCACAATATCCTATTAGAAGATATGAGATGCTATAATACAGCATAGTATTCTGTTCCATTTCAGTTTATATGCTTGAATTGACAGTGCTAAATTTTTAATGCAATCACTGTTTGATTTGGGACTTCCACTTAATACAAGTAAAAACTGATGTTAGGATGTTCATTTTACTCCACTAATTTGTTAGCAAAGATAGAATAGGCAAAGAGAGCTAATTTTTGTTCCTAGAATTCTGTTCTGGTGGAAGCAGGTTCTATAATAAGGACAGATTAATGTGCAGAACTCTTCCTTAATCAAATAGGAAATTTGTTTAATTATTGGGTTATAAAAGTTGCCTTTAGGAGATCTGTTTGTTTTATTGTAGAGGAGGGGAGTAAACAATATATAAGAGAAAATAGATTTATGTAGCAGACTGAAAACTTATAATAATTATATACACTCTTTAAAAAGTTTTTGCCCAAGTATATAATTAAAGAAATGTTAAAATATTAGCAATGTTAATTTGCACAACTCATGATGTTTTGAATCATTTAGAAAAAGGTTCCTTGGCACACATCTGTAATCCCACTACTTGGGAGACTAAGGCAGGAGGGATCATAAGTTTAAGGCGAGCCTGGGCAACTTAGCAAGACCCTGTCTGTCTCAAAATACAAAATAACAAGGGTAGGAGTGTAACTCAGTGGGTTCAATCCCCAGTATAGTAAAGAAGAAGAAGAAGAAATGTTGAATAGCTTTTTATTGTCAATATAGGCAATACAGGGGCTGGGGATATGGCTCAAGCGGTAGCGCACTCGCCTGGCATGCATGCGGCCCGGGTTCAATCCTCAGCACCACATACAAACAAAGATGTGTTCGCTGAAAAAACTAAAAAATAAATAAATATTAAAATTCTCTCTCTCTCTCTCTCTCTCTTTAAAAAAAAATATAGGCAATACAACTTTATAATAATTTTTTTTGTGAAAAATAATGATTAACCACAAAGCAGTCTTGGTGACAGGAACAAGGAGAAGGTATCAGTACATTTCATAGGGAATTGTTGTAAGTCTCTTAAAACTTGATACCCTTTTCAGTTACAGTGAATCAATCACTAACAGAATATAAATATTAAAGCTTATTCTTATTTTCCTTGAAGTGACCTTAAATGTTGAGAAAGTTTCCTTTTATAGTCATAGTTGTTGAAATAGATATTTATCACATATACCTACAAAATTAGGAAAACATGAAATTAGAATAAAAGTAGATATCTTAAAAAGTTAATTTGACATATTTGTTAAATTTTTATATCTATTGTCCTCAGACATTGTCTTGCAAGAATTAATATAAGGGCTGAGGGTATAGCTCATAAGTATGGCATTGCCTAGTATGCGCAAGGTTCTGGATTTGATCCTCAGTACCACACACACATCAAAAAAAGAAAAGACAAGACTCCAAAAAGTAAAATAATATTGAAGGCTGTCATTATTGAAACCTTTATGAAATAGTTGCACCCATGTAGAGTTTGAATGAAATGTGTAGCACACAACCGTTTGTATTATCATTTTGAGATGATCTAGCATTAGTCTCAGTAATTTTGCATTGTTTTTTAAGTGTATTGAGTATATGTGAAATATTGTTATGTTTGGTTGATTTAATAAAAGACCATGCATTAACCTTTGATATTTATGCAGTATTTTAGTATTTGGAGTAAATTCTCCAGATTTTTTACATGAAGGATTATTTAAATGTTCAAAATGATTGTTCCACAATCAGTCTCTAAAAATAAAACATTAGGGGCTGGGGCTGGGGCTCAGCTGTAGAGTGCTTGCCTAGCATGTGCAAGGAGTTGGGTTTGATCCTCTGCACCACGTTAAATGAATAAATAAAAATATTCTGTCCAATTACAACTAAAAAAAATTTAAAAAATAAAACATTAATGAAATATGTTTTTATTTGTAAGTAATAGCTAGGTTTACCTTAACATTATTTATGTTAAAATTGCTGTAGATTGGCATTATTTAATTAGGACCAACTACAGTAATTTCAAGTGATATACAGTTAACCATCATTTTTTCCTTTTCTTTTTTTTTCTTATGAAGCCATCCTCAGCTGTTGTTTGTTATCTGTCATTTATAACCTGAGCAAATGGAGGGCAGGTAGATATATGACACTTTCCCTTTAAGAGGAGATGATACATGGGTAATTGGTTTTATGAAGAATTTCACTGAGGTATTTTATTACAAAATCTTTTATTTTTGAAACATTTGTATTTGTATTGGCTCCTTGATTACAATTTTAAAGGAAAGTGTGGAAATGTAGAGAAAATATATTTCTATAGTTAGCTTTCTAAGCAAATTTTAACTTAGGGACCTGTGCTGAAAGAAAGGTCTTTGAAGTTAGATTATGACTGAATAAATAAAACAATCCAGAACGAATTCATTTGCTAGGGCTGCCAAAACAAAATACGATAGACCAGGTGGCTGAAACTATGGAAATTTTTTTTCTGGAGCTGGAAATCCAAGATTATGGTGTCAGTGTCAGCAGGTTGGGTTTCTCCTGAGCCCGCTCCGTGGTTTGGAGAAGACTGCCTTTTCATTGTCCTCACCTTACCCTTCCTCAGTGTGTTCGCATCTCTGGTGGTATCTCTTTTCTTACAACAGTCGTATCAAGTTAGAGCCCTACCCTAATTACCCCTTAGAGGCCTTATCTCCATCTACAGGGTGATGGGAGTTGGTACAGGAGAATCAACAAGTTCCAAGTCAGTCTTGGCAATTTAGTGAGACCCTGTCTCAAAAAAATATAAAAATGCTGTGAGTATAGCTCAATGGTAGAGTACCCCTGTGTCCAATCCCCAGGACCACAAAAATCATTGAAAAAAAAACTAGACCCACACAAATGTAGTCAGTTGGTCTTTGACAAAACAGAAAGACAATACAATGGAGAAAAACCATGCTGGAACATCTGGACAGCCACACGGGAAAAGATTGTGGAACAGTCCTTACACTTCTCACCAAAATTGACTCCAAATGTATCATAAACCCAAATGTGAACACAAAATTATAAAACTCCTAGAATGTAAGAAGTAAACATCTAGATGACCCTGGTTAGGTGATGACTCTTGAGATAAAACTTGAACACAATCCATGAAAGAAATGATTGAAGATATTTTGGTTCAATTGTGCTGCTGTAACAAAATTCTATAGCTGGGGTAATTTATAAACAATAGAAATTTATTTCTCATAGTTCTGGAAATGCAATATCAAGATGCTGACATGCAGGATCTGGTGAAGGCCTTCTTGCTGTATCTTCACATGGTGAAGAGGTCAGTGCTCTGTTTCTGTGGCAGAAAGCAGGTGGGGGAAAATCCTTTACTAGGGCTCCTTGGTAGTCAGTCACCAAATGAATTGAAAATCCTTGTCCACATAAAAGATTACAGAGATGTGAAGAGTAGCTTTACTCATAATTGTTAAGACCTGAAAATA